TTATTATTGTTTTTTATGTATTAGCAAAATATGCTCATGCGTTACAACGAACGATATGACTCGTTGGTTGGTTATATGTACAATTTATGTTTATATTCAATAATGATCGTGCCACTGTTCCGCAGACGCATTGGAATTGGATTGAGTACATTGTTGGATGCGTGTTCTTCTAACTCATATGGGCATGAGCTATGAATCCAGACCACATACGGCATAAACGCATTGTGGGAAGTATAAAAGTATGGACAGAAGAATCCATTCTCTCCTTAAGGCATGCCTATGCCTTGCAATGGGGTCGTTTGTTCGAACACACGTCTTGGAACCGGGCTTCTGTGATTGGGCGCAGACTCTAATAACTCGTATAAGCATCGGACGTGTTGCGTCAGGACTGGAGAGTGAACCAATCAGGACTCTAACCCCTTAATTTATCATGGACTATACTATTATATTAAAATTAACTGGCCAAAACTCTTATGCTCAGGTAAGTAGATGGACCGGACGGAATGAAAATTTGGTGAAAACGGGAGAGAGATTGAAAGATGAAAATTTGGTGAATATGCTTCAGATGTTACAACGAAATGTACAGCTTGTAACGAGGTCTCTTGAGCGATTTGTGGCTCAGAGATATGAGCAGTGTCGTAATGGGCTATGAGCTTTTGATAAATGGATTAAAAGTATGCTTCCTCTCAATAGATTTCGTGTTTTCTTCTTGTTTCCAAGACACTGATTTTAAGTATATGCAGATATTGTTTATTACTATATTAGGAAGCATTATTCACACGTAAACTAAATTATTTTTTGCATGTAATTTTTCCGTGTCGACGCATACGGAAAAAAAAAAAGCGATTGACAGACTCAGAAAAACAGATGGAATTATGGTCTAGAGGAAAAGGGGGGCTGAAAAAGGGGACGAAATTGTAGACCGGAGAAAAAGAAGCGGACAACGTAAGAACTGTAAAAAACAAAATCTGAAGAATCATGTCTTGGATAAAAGCGGCAATAGAAAAGAAAGGATACAGAGCTATAGACGTGTGGGGACGTGTGGGATAGAAGCGAGTCTACGAGCATGTTTGGAGACCATGAGCTAATTACTAACTGGCTAAATTTAGGTCAAATTGACTCTAGTGCATTTAAACATGAGGACTAATAAGTGGGCTAATTTTTAGTCAAATCTTCGACTAGTTGTTAACTAACTAATTAACCAACCTTAGCTAATTTGAGCTAATTTTCAACCAACTAGTAACTAGCTCTAGTCGATCTGAATAGGTCCTATATATTTATGATATGATGCGGGATGTGTCAAGCTACAATCACAACTCAAAGGATAGATGACCAAAATTATCAACAGACGCAGAGAAAGTAGGGGTAGGACAGGAAAAAGGTTATGGTCCAAAAATGAAAAAATAATCTACGGAAAGAAAAAAATATATATGGTCCAAAAAAAAAAAAATAGACTGAGAGGAAAAACGACTCGGGCATGGAAAATGAAAAAAAAAGTGCGTCCGAAGCGGGTGTGTGATTAATTTGGATGAAAGATTTCACGGTATAAATTTTGGCTTTATTTGGGTTAGGATTCCTATTCAACTTACTTAGGATTGGAGGATATATTTGAATTAGGATTCCTAACTATCCAGGTTACGGTTACCTTAAGAATCTGTGTCTATTATGTCATAAAACGGAAGATTTATGGAGAGACAAACAGAGACAGTTTTCATATTCACGGAGTTACGTTAGGGAAAGACTGACAAAAAATAAAAGAGGAATTTTAGCTCTTTAATGTTAGATTAGATATATAGATATAGATAAATTATTATATATCGTATGGAATGATAATCATATTTGATAGGAGAAAAAATTAAATCTTACAAATTTTGATCAACGGTTAGTCAAACTATATGCAAGTTTAGATATAGAACTTGTACAAATAGATTTTATATTTAAAGTGTCTCAGAGATGATATTGTTTTTTTTAGCAACTAAATATATGTTAGAAGAGAAAGTGAATATTAAAATCAATTCTGTATAAGCAAATGAGGGAGTATGATTGAAAATAAAAAGGCTTTGGTGTCAACCTCCTTATCAAGAGGGCCAATAATAAGCCGCAACCGTTACAAAGTTATGACCCAAGCTATCACATCCAATCCAATAATCAGCATATTCGCTTGGTCGTAAACGATCGTAAATTTCCAGCCAGAACAATATTTTTCTCTCACACCAAACCAGCCAGCAGTAATAATACACGATCGTTTCAGCCCCAGCCGAACAGGCTGAATATCATACCATGTGCGGTGCGCCACACAGTACCGCATAGGAGTGTGGATAATAGCCGGCTTTTAATCTATTGACCTGTCCTAATCATAAATGACTGCACTTGATGAAAATGGAAAATTGCAGTATATAGCTAACGCCTTCAAAGTACGACAAGCATGACTGCATGAATCAATAGCTACTCTTGATCATCTTTCTACTTTTTTTATATAATAGTTATATTGTAACATGGATGATGCCGAATTGCTGATGCCATGCTAGAGCTGGCATTGGTCCCTTCTTTTTCTTTTTCTTTTTCTTTTAACATTTGCTCCTTGTTTGGTCATCACTAGTCTATTACGGAGGACATATCTTGCAATAATAAATGGTCAGAATAAGACTATTTCCTTCATCTAAAAGCTTGTCTGCTACCCTCTCCATCTCCATAAACGACTTTTGTATCTTGGCCCCTGGGTTACCGAGATGAGGCGTATATATTGCCCTTGACTTCATAACAAGGAGCAAGAGCATAAACACAGAGGGGTGAACTTACAAATAAATAAAAAGCAGGGAGGAAGGACAATCACATGCGAAGCTAGACCTCTTTGTTGGGGGTAAGCTGACCCCTATGACTTTTGGTAAAATCAGTGAGAAATCACCGTTATACACTATTTATAACATGGAAAATCCTAGAACTGCAATGTTGAAGGCTCCGGTGAAGTTTTCGCCTCAATAGAACCCTAATTTGAGGTATCCTAGGGCAAACTGATAATTAGGCATCCCAGGAGCAGGCAGTGGCTTAATTGTCCGTTTTTTTAAAATGGAATGGAATGATTATCGATTTCTAAGGGGAAATAATGGTACAAATAAACCGATCCGAGCTCAAAAGCTTGCCGTTGGGCTCCAGCTAGCTAGCTACAGCGTAGGCCCACCGGCACCAGGACAGCTTCTGGTCGGATTAAGTGGGCCAAAATACAAACCGGGCCAAATCTGTCCCGAGGAATGCTGCATTGGGCTAGGCCTCACGGTACGTGCTTTCCAAGGCCGAACCGTCCGGGTACTCCAGTAATAAGATAAGAAAAAAAGCACTCAGTGGGAAGGTTCCTTTTTGGTAGAACTATACCAGGGAGGATGGTCATTTCACTTTGATTTATTATATCTATGTCTGGGAGGGTTTCTACTTTTCTTCACCGACCTTAATAGTCAATTGTGATCAGACACTATCTTTAATTCCTTTATTTATAACCAGATAGGTGGACACATTGGTAAAGATTACATAATAAACAGATCTAGTTAAGATAGTGTATTAGTAATCCTTATGGGTAACTAGAAAGTGGAGAAAGGCATAGTCATACAGATTACTAGTAGATAAGTAGATATGCAGTAACCAGCAATTGTCTGTGTAGAGTTGCCGAATGAATTCTTTCATTACCTAGGCAGAGCTGTTTTGAGAATTCAGACTGGACAGAACCAAAGGTAGAGTTGTTTGAGAATCCAGACTGGACAGAACCAAAAGAACGTGCAGTACTGGACGCGACTCCAGTGAACTAAACAATTTCACGTCCTGGAAATTGCTCGTACAGGTTCCGCACATTTTCAGAAACACTCCCTGTTCTAAAGCTGCATTCATTTCCCAGCTCTCTTCTGTGCCTCTCAGATATATCTGATGGCATCCAAAACTTCTCTTTCCACTTCCCAGTCGTTTCTCTCTTGCTCCTAAGACGAAGGTTAGTTCCAAATCATGCGTGAATCAGAAGGATGAAAATTGACTTTGGGATGCTTGTGCCGCAATGCTTATCTCCCCACAACTGCCTTCATCTGCAACCAGTATCCTGCACGCCATACAGGCACCAGATATAATAAATTGATCAGGGAAGCATATTGAAAAGATATGTTATAGCTCTTCAGCTAGTTATTTTAGGGTTTTATAGAGTTCAGTTAGTTGTCCAAACATCTAATATTGCCATAGCATGGCCCTTCTTTTAAGCTAGTATGGACTTATTTTTTGTTATTTGTTGCTTGCTGGATTTTGATTGCTGGTAGGAGAGCGGTCCATTCCCTGCTGATTTAGTAGGGAACACCATGGTACTAATTTAGTATACCTATCCAGAAGCCCTGGCTCACTCTATATAAATTAATTAATGTGTACTTGAATTTGTTCACTCGTTAGTCAATACTACCTTCAACAACTATAGGTTGGATCTTTCAAAAAATAAATCCTAGAGGTTGGATACTTCTTAAACCAACTAAAGATAGGAGACTGACTAAGGAACGGCATGGTGCTTACTCTCGAGGCCGAGAAACCCAGGGGGAGCTTAAGGCACGGAGGCGGTTGTGGTACTCGCCAATGGCCAAGAAACATCGCTACCGCCTGGACGAACTGTCAGAATCCGGTGCATCTGATGAAGAGTCTGCTGCCTCAAGTTATCAGCCTGGAAATTACACATCTAGCTTTAGCACATGTTGCATAGTTGACAAGTCATATCTTCTCTACAACGCAGACATGAAACTTCCACATTTATACATTCTGATGGCATCATAAAGCCTATTAGATATCAGTGAGCTACATAGTATCGAATAATTAAACTTGACGTTGTCTAAAAAGAACAGCTGCTTATTTTTTTGCGAGTGTGGCAAGTCAAATAAAGATGTCCTGACTCCTGAATACATTATCTCTGCGAAATTTTTTTATTAATTAACTCTTAGAAGTCCTATCAAGTGGTTACTTGCTCATCTACAAAGTTGAGTGGAGGACTATATAACACTGACATAATGATCAAGAGTGAAAATTTCATGTGAAACCATAACCTGTATCACAAAACCTTCAAGGTTGGACAGCTTGCCAAGGGCAAGGGCCATTTGACCCATGAAGCTCATGTTGGTGTCATCAATCAGAGATCCACCAGCCATGGTGTCAGCTAGTGACTGATGCAGCTGGTCCAGGCCCTGGGAGAGAGCTTCCTCCGCCTGCTGTGATGACTGTTGAAGGTTGCATATGCCTACCAGTTGCTGCTCAGTCAGGGGATCCAGCTGGGGCAGCAGCGTCTGCAGCAACATGAAAAATTATATGTACTGAAATTGAAAATCTTGTACTAAAATGACGTCAGATAATTTCGACTTTGTTCATGTTTTCCTACTGTTGGTTGAAAAATTCTTGTTAATTCAAGTATTGAAAAGGTAAAAACTGTCAAGTGAGGTTTCTACCACAGTAACCTAGATTTAGCTTATCAATCTATGTGAATGCAGTTGTGTACAGTATGTATAGTGCAGGCAGCTTGACATCAGATGTTCTATACTTCTATATTCAGATTATCAGGCGAATTCATACCTTGACCAGATCCGCACCGCCGGAGGTGGAACACATCGGACTTGGCTGCTGGCGCCTTGAGCTGGAACAGCTCATCGTGGTGGGTCAGGGTGTCATCCACGATGGCTCTGAGGTCAGCATCTGGCAAGTGCGGCGTGCAGAGCTCCGTGCAGCTCGGCCATGCGCCCGGCCGTGGTCGATCCAGCCACCGGGCGTACTCCACGTCGAACATTGCGGGCGCCTGGACATGGATGGTGAGACAAGTGGACTATAAAATGCTGGTGATAATAGTTATAGCTACAACAACGCACAAGAACGTTGAGAAATGAGGATCAGATTAGGCACCTGAGCTGGTGTTTGCACCTGGAGCTCCTCCAAGAAAGATGCCCTGAAAACACACGAGTTCAGATTTCATCGACTCAGATGTTCAGTTTTTTTTTTTTTTTGATAAATAACTCAGATGTTCAGTTAGTAGTCAGAAGGCAACTCACAGGCCTAGAAACTACAGTGTACCTGGGAACGTGCTCTCTGCATGTCCTATTCTATCTGAGCAAGCTTCAGTTTGCTGCTCTCAAGCTGCTGAATGTAAGGCTATAGCACATTGACAAAATTAACTGCCAAGAACTTGGTAAACTCACTGTTAAATGATTCAGTTTCTAAGTAAATGGTGCTCAATATTCACCTTCTTTCGCAGCCGACTTTTGCGTGTAGCTTCCCGGTTCTGCGCAAGCCTTCTGATTGTCTGCTGAAACGAAGAGACATTTCTTTTTTTTTTCTTTTGATGCAAAATTGAGGAAAGTGAATGTGTTTGCAAAGTTTGAAAAAAAATGTGAATTGCCAAGACCATGTGGATTCTGTTAAAGTTACAGTCACTGGTAAAACTAATATATCAACCATTGTTATTGTTGGACTAGGTGCGATGACAAGCCTGATCGGCATCTACCTTTTTGAGCACGTAACGAAGTGCTTTTGATTTCGTCATGACAATGGTTGAGTCCAGTGTACATGATTCTCGTGGGACGATTTACAGTTGACATTTTTTGTGATGTGGGATCTTGAAATCACCCTCAGGTGAGTAATTATTGCCTCATTTGACTTCGCATGTTTTTTTTCAATCATTGCATACATTTGACAACTACTCCTAACTTCTAAATTATATATCTCAGGACCCTTTCGTGTATATGATATTGAATAGGGTTTTTTTACACAATTTCACGCATATAAGTTATAATTTTTTCAAACAAAAAAATTTAAAACAAGTAACATCATTGGCGGTCCTAAACCTGCACGATGATGTCATCTAGGTTCCTAATCCACAATTTTCCTATATTTCAGTCCCTGAACTTGTATTGTGATGTCACTCGGGTCCTCAACAACACAAGTTCATGGACTCAAATAGCAAAAACAAAACACAGTGCTATGAATCCAGCTAACAGCACTATAAATGTCCATGCAGCCCGAGGCACGACGACACGGCACGAAGCCCGCTTTTTTAGCCCGACACAAGCACGGCCCGGCCCGGTGACGTGCGGGCCCGGGCTGGCCTGACCCGAGGGAGCAGGCCGTGCCTGGGCCGCTGCTCAGGCCCGTGGGCTGGCACGGCACGGCCCGGCCTGCATCGGTCAGCCCGGCAGCGGCCCGGCCTCCCCCCTCCCCCTCCTCACTCCTCCTCCCCTCCCCAAAGGCCCAGCTGCCAGCGCGGCCGGCCCACCATCCCCGCATCCCCCTCCTCATATATAAGCGCATGCCGCGTCAAGATGGCAACGGGTACGTACCCGATGGGTACTGGCCACCCGTACCCGCACCCGCCAGATCAAAATCTTACCCGTCGGGTTACCCGTACCCGCAAGCGGGTAGAAAATTCATTCCATACCCGCACCCGAAGGATAATTCTTACCCGACAATACACCCGAGTTCACACACCAAAATATAATAGCTTCCAGCAAAACAAATCAACAATAGAGCAGCAAAACAGAAATATGGGCTGGTGGAGTGGAGTGAGGATGAGGATTAGGGTTTGAGGGAGTTCTGGAATATATATATACTCATATGCTTATATGGGTCAAATATGGGCATATGCTTATATGGGCTAAAATTGCAGAAGTTGGATATTATTTATGCGGGTTTTTTTACCTGCGGGTATGCGGGTATGGGTAGTATACACCCACACCCGTACCCGCATACCCGATGGGTATAAGAATTCGTCCAATAACGTACCCGCGGGTGCAAAATGTCTTCCATACCCGCCTCCTTATCGGGTAAAACCCATCGGGTACTCGGGTTTCAGGTACCCGTTGCCATCTTGAATGTCGCGGCCGCGGCGGCTCTCACACCCCGAACCCTAGCTCATTTCACTCGCCTCGCCTCGCTCTCGGCTCTCGCGGTCTCGCCCTCGCAGTCTCGGCTCCGTCCTCCTCGACTCTGGTGAGGTGACCTCGACGATCCGCCTGCCGCCGGCGAGCAGCTCCCTACTCCTCCTATCTGATCCCCTCCCTGCTCCCTCTCCGCCTCTCCCTTCTCCCTATCCCTATCTCCCCTCTAGATCTCGGTGATTATGTGAGTTCGTGTCCCCGTCTGCCCCTCCTCCACCGCTCGCCGTCCTTCTAACTGGTGTGTCGTCATCTCTGGGTGGCCCTCGTCTTCTCCGGCACCAGGCTCCGGTTGCGTAGGTACATCCTGAACCCTAACCCTAACCCTAACCCTAACTGTGATCCACTGATCCCCCTCTTCTTCCATTGATCTATTCTGATATATTGTTTTCCTCCTCCTCCATGTCTTTACGCAGGTTGGTAGCCGATGCGTCGTCCTCTAGCTGTGGCATAGAGCGACCAAGGCGGCCTCGTGCACCGTTGAGGAACGGTGCTAGAGAGCCCTCCGCGGTCGAGGGTGCCATGGCTGGTGCTGATGACGAGATCGTCTGGCCGCTCACCGGCAACGACGATCTCATCGCGGCAGGCCTGGCACCTGAGGACGACGACGACACCCAAGAGGACGATGCTGCCTTGTTCGGTCTGGATGGCGGTGGTGGTGAAGGGGCAACAGAGACTAGGACCCCGGTCTGCTCCGACGGCTCAACTCTATCTGTTGTTGGTACTGGTACCTCTTCTGAACTTGGTGTTGGTAAACATAAATCTGTTGTGTGGGCTGATTTTGATGAGATCTACGAGACTGTGAATGGTAGGAAAATCTGCACTAAAGATACCTATAAAATGTATAAGCATACTTTATCTGCTAGATCTAATGCTGGCACTGGGCACTTGAAGAGGCACCAGAAATCTTGTAGGCAGAAAACTGATCAAGCTGCTAGGGTTCAGTCTAGGCTTGCTTACAATACTGATGGTTCTGTGCATAACTAGGACTATAAACCTAATGTTGCTAGATATGAATTGTGTCGCTTGAATGCTAGGCTTGATTTGTCGTTAGGTATTGGTGAGACAGAGGCATGGGAGGATTACATTGTCCGTGCTCATAACCCTAGGTTTGTTAAAGTATCTAGACAGACCACCACTAGATATCTGAGTAAACTGTTTACTGAACGTTATAATATGCTTAAGAATTCTGTGTTGTCTGCTGCTTCTTCTGTTGCTCTGACATCAGACATTTTGGTCCGGTAATGCTAACGAGGATTACATTAGTGTTGTTGCTCATTTTGTTAGTGCTGATTGGGAGTTATAGAACAAGGTTATTGGGCTTAGGTTGATTGAGGTGAAACATACTGGTGAAAATATTGCTGAAAGAGTTGCTTGTGTGGTTGAGGAGTTTGGTCTCATTGATAAGGTTTTCTCTGTAACTCTAGACAATGCTTCTTCTAATGCTAAGGCTATGGAAACTTTGACACCTATGTTTGCTGGTTATTTGGGTCCTGATCCTACACCTGAGCCTGTTGATCCTTCTAAGCGTAAGTACAGTCTTGTCCATCAATGTTGTGCTTGTCATATCATTAATCTGATTGTAAAATCTGGTTTAAAGAGGTTCAAACCTTACACAGAAGATTTTAGAACTGCTATTAACTTCTTAAATTCCTCTAATCAAACAATTGCTTTGTTTAAGAACTACTATACTGCTCAGGGTGTTAGACCTAGAAAGCTTGGCTTAGATATGGATGTTAGATGGAATGCTACATATCTTATGCTTAAACACTTGATTTAATATAAGCATGTTTTTTCTGTGTTCATTAATTTCAATTATGGTTGTGAATTGTTGTCTGCAAGGCATTGGTACATAGCTGAAAAGATATTGGAGTTTCTAGAACTATTTTATGACTCCAATTGTTGTTCTTTTACGGTGTTTACTATCCAACTAGTCCACTTATCCTGCGCCATATCTGCTAGAAATTGCTTCTCATTTACATGCAAGTGACAAAGATCAAAATCTAATTGCTGTTGTATATTCTATGAAGCTTAAATTCCTTAAATACTGGCAGCATATACCTCTGTTATATTTATTTGCATTCATTCTTAATCCTAGAGCTAAGATGAGAGGTTTATGTAGAGTTTTCGAATTACTTAAAGAGAGAACTGGTTGTGATTATACTTCATATTATGCTGATGTGAAAACTAAAATTTACAAGTTATTTAACAAATATGAGAGAAAGTTTGGTGCAGCTAGGGGTCAAAGGGTTGCACAGCCCGCAAGCCATACTGGTAAGAGAAAACAAGCATGGGGAAGAATCTTTGGAGGCCATGGATCTATTGTTGGTCCTTCCCCTGTCTGTGCCCCCACTTTATCTTTTACTGCTAATGAGCTCTCAGTTTATCTAGACAGTGACAATGTCACTGTATATGAGGATGATTTTGATTTACTTCTCTGGTGGCGTGACCACAAACTAACCTATTCAATCCTATCTATAATGGCTAGAGCTATTATGTATGTTCCTATTTCTACTGTCTCTTCGGAATCATGTTTTAGCTTGACAGGAAGGATAATTGAAGAGCGGCGACGCCGCCTGTTGCCTAAAATTGTGGAGATGCTGGCCTGCATAAAGGATTGGGAGTTGGGAAAAAGCATATTACAACATACTATTGACAACGAAGAGCTGGAGGACTCCTTCAAGAATCTGTACCTCGATGATGATGCAGATGGAAATTCTTTAATCT